ATATATATATATATATATATGTGTGTGCGTGTGTGTGTATAATGGTTTAATTTAAATATTACATTCATTTTAATATTACTTTACCTTACATTTACTTTACCTTATAAACTTTATTGTCATTCAAAATTGAACAAAATGTCATTTAATTTCTCCTCAGCAGTGTAGGAGTGCATCATTTACATGAATTTTATAGACTTCGGTGTTTTGAACAGAAGATGCAATTCTTGTGCAGAAACAACAAGTAAAGTGCAAATGTTAGCAAACGTTCCTATGTACACCTAGACATATGATACATTTCTACATGCATGCACAGATTCCTACATATATATGTACTCATATGTATATAAATACAATACAAACAGCATCCATGTCTGAGTGAATTCCCATATACTTTTTTTTACTGAGGTCTGTGTGTGTGTGTGTGTGTGTGTGTTTGCTGTTGTGGTCACTTCATTAGTGACCTGAGTTCAGCAGTCTTAGCTCGTGGGATGAAACTGTTGCAGAACCTGGTGGTTCTGGTCCTCAGGCTGTGGTACCTCCTGCCAGAGGTCAACAGAGTAAACAGTTCATATTGTGGGTGTGAGTTGTCTCTTTTGATTTTTGATTTCAGGGTGAAATCAAGAGGCAACACTCGACAAACCTGCAGCTTGTTAACCTGAGAACCCCTGAGCAAACATAAGGCTGGGCTGAATCACAACTCTCTGAGGAAAAAACAAATGCATGTAACATGGTCAAATGCAAGGTCTGGGCTGAAAAGTGGTGAAAAAGCATCAAATATCGAAACGCTTCTGTATAAATAAGCCAAACCCTAAAGATCTGTAAACTGTTTTTAGAACGAGGCAACTTTTCACACGGGTCTGAAACTGTTGTGCAGCACTTCATTGGGAGGCAGATCATCCCTGGTGGTCGCTGTCTTGGTGGCACCCTGAAGGCCTGACCTTGCCCACTGGCAGGGAGGGAGGTGGGGGTGGGTATCTCCTGCTAAAGCAGTACTTTGTGATAAGGCCATTTCTTTTCCTTCAGCATCCCTTTAATGTCATCCCTGAAATATGAAGTCATTAAGCGATATTAAAACAGTGCTGACAAACTAATTAACAGAAGACATTATACGGGATGGGCTCGATTAATCCGCTTTAATTGCTCTTTTAAATGGGGGCTCCAATTAAAATTAATAAAGATTTACTGGTGATCAGTCTAAACTACACTAAGAAGTGGCTGTCTGAAGGGCAGCCTAAAGTCAGCGGCCTCCGTTCTCAAGTTACACTCCCTATTTCTCGCAGCGACTTACCCCCCAGTTGCCAAAAGACCATATCTATGAGCAATAAGATTAAAGAGTGGGGCTGTCCCAGTGCCCCCAGTCCCAAAGGTTGCATTGTCTCTTGCTTAGGGGTGTTTGATCCTGCCTTTGTCTTTGTAGGACCCTTCAAAGGAGACACCAGCTCATTTTTAATCTAAAGTCCTCCACCACACACACTGCCTCTAAGCCTTGATTAATAAAAGTAATGAAGTAAAATTATTTTTAAATAAAAAGGTTTTAGATCTTATTTAAGAGTTTTGTGTTTTTGAAGGCAATATGCTTTCAGCTGCTTCTAAATGTCCAGAGTGACAAACTTTTGTGGCCACTATTTGTTACTTTATATCACAATTTTCAACAAGCTGCAAAAATCTAATATTTATTTAAAAGGTTTGCATTATTTTTTATTGAGTTGCAAGACCTGCAGAGTTGTTTCAATGGCAGCAAGTTTTCACTAGATGGTGCTGTTGCTCTTCTGATGTCCAGTTTCATTTTCCTGCTTTCTTTTTTTTTATATTAGATTCAAAAAACTTTACAAAAGCAACAAGATATTCTTATAACTGAATTTTCAAAAGGTCAAGCACACAATTAAGAGCATCTGCTCATCTTGCTTTAATTTAAACTCTTTGTTGCTTTGTATATATATATTTTTTCATCTTCATTACAAAGGAAGCTCTGTTGTTTTGTAGAGATTGAACATAATTTCATATTGTGCTGTCAGCCCCAAGGCAATTAAACAACTGAAGGTATGTAATTTGTTTTCTTTCATTATACCAGAGGCGACCAAGTCTTGTTCAGAAAATGTCACAGAATAAAATTAATTTAAGCAAAGCCCTTTGGTTCAGATAAAGGCTTTTTAAAAAATTGATAATGTAAATCAATTTACAAAAGAAGATGGACCCAAATGAAAAGAAATGTCTATTAAAAGATTAGAGGTTTATTGTCATCAGCCAGTCTGAACAATGATTTAATTTCCTTAATGTTATCATTTCTGATGTAATTAGTGCTTCAGTGCCTAACAGGTTTTTCAATTAAATATTTGGTTAAGGTGTAGTATTTTATTTTGTAAAGGCTTTAAAGTATCTGAAAACATGCAACAAGTCCAAAAGCAGTTCTTATGAGATTTGCCTGGTTAAATAAAGGTTAATAAATAAGTTGTTTAAAATATTATGACTGATTTATTTTGTTTCCCCTCCAAAATGAGTTGACTCTGGTTTGTGATTTGACGACATTCGAAGAGTCGACAGGTTTGTGGAATTTTGCTTCGGCGGCACAACGTGACATGAGGTCACCTCAGGCATTAGTCATGAGGAGGGAATGCATTGTGGCTGTTTTTAAGACATGGCAGTTGTCCACATCCGCAGCGGCCGCACGATGAATGCAGGCCTCAGAAAGTTGACTTGAATCAGCTTCGATGAACAATGTGAACAGCGGAGTTCTGAACAGCTGGTTGCTGGACGTGGATTAGAGGCACCTTAGGGGGAGAACACTGGGATGCTTACTGGACTGTCAATGTTTTTATCAGTCTTTTGCTTTAAACATTAAAATGTGAAAAAAATTGTACCCAGGACAAACATAACACTTCAGCTTTCTATAATATTTAGTGCATTTTTTTTATTTTAATATTCATTCAGTACAATATTTATGAGCGAAATATATGAAAATGTTTTTTTTGTGTGTCTCCAGAAGACAACAGCTGAATTTTCACACATGATAATAAATCACATGCATTCAGACAAATAAATCCATAATAAATTATACACATATAAAGCCAGCAGTGCGTGCACATTTACACATCATACACAGCTCTGAAATAAACCAGCATAAAAAGAAACTCATATTCATAGTGAGTGATGTATGAAGGATCACATCTGATCTTTGTAAACATTTTTTTGCACAACTACAAACTCAATAACTGTCAAAAGACAATAAACACTAAAGAAAATCACAGTAGAATATCTATTTTGATTGCTAATTTGCAAGCAAAATGCAATATTTTAGATTTGAGCATAATTTACAATGGTGTGTATGCATGAGCAAACTTTTTAAACAAACGGATTCTGATTTTTACGTCACTAAAATGCACAACAAGAAGAAAAAAATGAGCTGAATTTACAAAAAAGAAAAAGAAACAAAAGAAATCACTAAATCAATTTATCTGTACGCCTTTTTTATGGTTGCACTCTACAAGTAGGAGGACGTCTTGAACTCCTCGGGGATGTCACTGTCCAGTTTACAGATCACCTTGTAAATGGCCTTTTTCCAAGAGGAGTCTGAATCTTTGGCTGCAGAAATGGCGTTGTAAAATTCATGCAAGGTGAGTTCGGCGACCTCGAGGAACCTGTCAGGAACCTGAAAAAAAACAACAAAAAAAACAGAGGGGATGTAAAATAGAAGGGAAGACTTTATTCTGGCACTGTAGCTTCATGTGTGAAGCTGCGTTTGAAACAATCAGTCTTTGTTTTTCCTGATTATGTGAAGTGAAGACTCGTAGCACGATCCATCAAACGGTCAAACTGATGAAAGGCAGGACAACTCTTTGTTCTCGGAGCACAACAAATGCAACGCAGCAGATTAGACTCTGTTTTCTTGATCCTAAACTGAAAAAAGTTTATTGCAAACAACTGTGGCAAGCTCCAAACAATAATTCCAATTATTTAAACTATTTTTCAATAATAGAGAACAAATGAGTAAGGTCTAACCATGTGGCTCGCCATCTTTTATGCAAATTTTAAATTAAATAATCTATAATTGTCTTATGCTGACTTATATCTATTTTAACCCAACCTTGTCAATGATTTTATGTTTGATCTCATGTGTTTTTGTGAGATCTTGCAAGATGTGTTAGCTCTCAAAGAAAGTGTTGAGAATGACTCTCAGCTACCCCCACACACAATTTCTAATGTGGCTAAAACTGCCCATGAGTGGCTTTTATGTTGGCTGACGTCAATTAGCTAAGGTGGCCATCTTTGAATCAGGATGACTCCAAAAGTTGAGTTATAGATGTGCATCCTATTCTGAGCAATTCATTAAACTCCGTCCAGAGGTTCATGAGATATTTTGCTAAATCTATACTTAAAATAACACAAACAAGCACAAATATGAAAAAACGAAAACATTATTAATAATCAAAGTGTTCAACGTAATCTGTGATAAAATGATTTGGATTTACTTTGGATCACATATTGAGTATCTGAGCAGAACCTAATAAACCTCAGTAAATGTAGTTCAGAGCCAAAAGCAAAGGATGATGGGAGAGATCCATTCTTCAGCCCTCGTTTCCCATCCACTTGCCTGTTTGCGCCACGGCGGTTTGGATAAGTTATTTTTCTTTCCCCTCGTCTCCTGACACAAAAGCATCCCTGGGAAAGGAATGTCTTGGTCCCAAGGTAAAGAAAACGGTCCCATCTCTTTCCCACCAAACGGCCTTCTCCCTCGGAATCCACAGCGTCTTTCTCAGCATTCCGCATCAGTAGCAATCTCTGTCTCGCTCAGCCGTGCTGGTCCTCTAATCCGGAGTTGTTTTAGTGGGATTTTGTGGCTTCCTCTTCCCACAGTTTGATAAAGCATCACTCTGGAGTTTAGATAATGGCTGTAAGGGCTGGTCAGCCACAGGTGCAGCAAAACACAGGTCAGCACCTACTCACACATGTTCACAGCCACATGGAGGTCTTACATCTGGCACAATGAGCCCATCACTTCTGATAAAGTTGAATTACTATAGAGTATCTTGGTTGATTCGCATCTCTCTTTTAAGCTTCACGTGGAAAACTTTGGGGAAACTAAAAGTTAAATTCAGAAATAGATCTTGTTTATCTCTGAATGCTAGGAAACGCCTCGTAACTGTGACTTTCCTTCCCTCCATTGATTACGGTGACATTATTTACATGAACGCTCCTACAAGCACCCTGCAAATGTTGGATACTGTCTATCATGGTGCATTAAGATTCATAACTGGCTGTAACTATCATACCCACCACTGCACCCTGTATTCACTGGTTAACTGGACATCATTAACTTCACACAGACTCTCTCACTGGTACATTTTCATCTTTAAATCACTTCTTGGTCTGCTGCCTTCATACATCTCCTCATACATGTCTCTGCGTGAGTGCAGCTACAGCGTGCGCTCTCAGGACATTATTACATTGTGTTCCCTCAGTGAGGACTGAACTTGGCAAAAGGGCCTTCTCCTGTTCCGCTTCTGTTTCCTGGAATATCTTTCAAAAAGACCTGAAGCTCTCAACCTTGACCTCTAAGTGGCTTCAAACATCTGATAAGTTCCTGGCAAAAACCAATGCAGACATGTTCTTGTTTGTAGTTTTTTTTCTACACCGCCTTATAATCTAGCTGTTTTTTTTGTTACTATTTTTAATACCATTTTTATTTTCACTTGTTCTTCTCAATTTGTATGCATCCTTTATGAGTGTCTAGTCTTTGTTGTGCACTGTTGTCATCACTCTTTGTTAAAATCAGGTCTCTCTTGTAAATGAGTCCCCGAGGAACAATGGGATTAACCTGTATAAATAAAGGTTGAATGAATAGAGAACTAATCAGACGATTAGGTTGATAAGACTAGCGTAATCACACTTTAGATGTATCTTTTATGAGTTTGCATAGTTGTTATTTTAAAGAACTGCAGATACAGTGAAATCTTCAAAAACACATTTTCCAATAAAATATTATTGTGAGCACCATATAAAGCTGTAGTTTTGACTTAAACAAATAAGCAGTCCATTACATATAAACATTAAATGTTTTGATCCTGATTTTATATATATATATATATATATATATATATATATATATATATATATTTAAGTTAGATCCAGTCCTTAAAAGCTTGGAGTCTTAAAGTTGGTGTGCAGACCTCACTTTGGGTTGTAAAACAATAAGCGTGGCATTTAAAATGATTTCCAGTCATTTAAATACATTTTGAAATTTTGCTATAAGTGTAAAATATGAAAACAGCAAATACTTCAATAGTTTTTTTGGCTATTACTGTATTCCTGTTTTTTGGGGCTTGTAAGTGATGTTTGCAACTGATGTCAAAGCCTAAAAAGTTTGGGAACCACTGCTTTAAAGAGGAAGGTTTAAAAAAAAAAAAAAGAGAATCAAAAGTAGCTTCTTGGATTACAACCGTGAAATGAGGCCTTTTAATAAAAATAATGCTGGATTCGTCCAATAGATGTGTTTGAATTATAAGTGAGACTTACATGGAAATCATTGGCTTTGTTGTAGTGCATGTTCAGCGCCCGGAAGAGTTCTGAGTCCCTGCTGACTGTGATGTCTTTGACATCGGCGATGCCGTCAACGATGGCCTGGCGGGCAAACTTCTCCATCTGAATGTAATAGAACTCCCTGAAGTTACTGAACCACTTGATCAGCTGGGAGGTGATGCAGCGGTTGAACTGGAAAAGAGGATAAAACTGTTTTGACTTCATCTGACAACAATCCTTCTAGCTTAGGTTTTCTGGAGTGAAACTATAAAATCAGCTACACCATACATAGAATTAAAAACTTGAGTAATTCTTAAAATAAAATTTGAATTTTCAGAATAACCGATGGGAGCTCATTGAGAACCCAATGGCATTTAATGACTGCAAGCCTGGATTTAGATAGTCAAAACAGTCTCTCTATGCAATATTAATTTCACTAATCTTTTCCCACCGATGTCTGAGATGCAAAAAACACCTGTCAGAAGTCTGTGTTTTTAAAGATAGTCTTGACATTAGTCTTGTTATTCTATCTTCTCACCCAGAAAGACAGAAAAAAGTGCCTAAGGGCTGGGCAGGCATCAAAGACGCCTCTCCTCTCTGGTGTGGCGGGTGAGAAAGCGGCAGCATAAGGACAGAAGGAAGCTTCCCTCTCATTGACTCGGGCTGATAGGATGGAATCAGACACTGGGATTATGTGTTCCTTTGTCCGGTGCCACTTCCCACCACAGGAGTGTAAGCAAGGAGGAGACGTTCCGCAGGGCTGCAGCGACAGCATCCTCCCCCCACCCCTGGCCCTGGGGGTCATGGCAAACTGAGAGTCAGGGGCCAGCACAAGCTCAGAGATCCAGGACACAAGATAGTGGAAAAAGAAAGCTCAGCAATGTATGGAGGAACTTGGAAGGCGAGGGAGACTTGATCCAGGTAAATATAGAAAGGATTCATGAGAATGAAAGAAAACAGCTAACAGCAGTGAAGGAGACAGAAAGATAGAAAAAGGATGACAAGGCCATAACACAGGATGTTTTGTTTAGGTTGCAACCAAAAGTCTCTAATACCAACTCTCTGTTGACACTCAATAGCAATGCCTTGCCTACAGAGTCCTTTGTCACTCCATTTGCTGACTGGAGAGGCTTTTTTAAAGAGAGAATGCCCCTGTATCTCCCTCTACCCCCAGGACATACTAGCAGCTCAGTGGCTTTGTTATTTAAACCCTCTGCGTTTTTGTTTCTCTCCTCCGCCACACTGCTGATTTTTTTTTTTCCATCCCAAACACACAAGTAGAAACAGCACAAACACTTCGGTCTGAGTTCGACGCGTGCTGTCAATTCATTTTAGAGCGTGCAAACAAACGCATACCTTGACATCAGGGAAGAAGGTTTTCAGCACGTTGGAGCTGGGGTAGCGTGTGTAGAAGAACATGAGCTTGGCCTTCTTCAGATGACTCGGACTGAGACCCTCCTGGATGTTTTGCGCTTAAGTTAAGGAAATTTTAACAATTAAATCAAAAGCGCACACACCGCAAAGCCCCCGGGCAACGCGATAGTGGAACCAGAGTATTGCGTTGCCTCATCTTTGGCCTAAATTAAATTTCACTAAAGAACAGCTTGGCATTAACTTGGAAGTCTATAATGATCCTAACATGTGCTTATTGGCAAAACAGAATTAGGAATTGGATTAGGGATTTTTAATTAGAGAGCAGAGCACATCATGCCTGGGAGTTAAGGCGACTTGTTTGAAAATGTTTGGAAACAAGACACTGATTGACATATAGACGCGTAACGATTTGAAGACGGCATATGTTGTTTTTCTTCCTAAGTTCTTGCAATTATGGCTTCTGTGTTTTATTGTACATGTGTAACAAATTATGCTCTCATTTGTGAAATGTTTGAATATAAATTACAAAACAGATTGCAATATATGGGACCCTTTCATACGACTTTGAAGGCGCCCATGGCCATTTCCTGTGTAGTCCACCGTCTTGGGTCATGATCAGTCTTATCAGGTCACCTCACCACACATTTATGAGGGAACCACTTTGAAATGTGGAAGTATGAATGAAAGATTTATATTGCATTGTTCAAAGAGAAGCATGCTCTTTGCACTGTCAAGATAAAGTGAATATTGAGCATTACCACAAAATGTACTTCTCTAAAACCTTGCAACAAGTCTTGAATTAAATATGTGATTATTTGCTGCTTAATGTGCAACACTGTTTTTTAGGATGCATGCGTCTTTCCAATTATTTTAAAGATGCAAAGCAACAAGAAACAAGACACACACTTGTTTCTTCTGAATCAAACAAGCTGATTTGCATATAGTTCTGTTATTTTGTTACTTTATTTCCATCATGTACCTTCTGACAAAAGGCTGCAACAACAAATGCTCAAGACAAGAGCTCAAGTGTTACGGTTGGGAGGCACTTGTGGTTTCCACCAGCACTCAGATCTGACCTTTTAGATGCACCCCTATCACTCTGATGATGGAGAAATAGATCCTGCACCTTTTCAAGTCTGGAAAAAAAAAAAAGAAAAGAAGAAAAAAAAAAAAAAACCCGATTCTTCCTGAAACAGACCGAAGCTTTCTCTGCCTTTGAAAATTTGGCTTTTGTTCCTGGCAATTCTTATCAAAGCCTTGTATTCCTTTTTATTTGTCTTTTTCTAGACTTAAAGTCATTACTCGGCTTAGATTAAAGAAGATGCTGTAATTTTCTGTGGGGTTAGCGAGATCAAAGGCAAAATTCTCCTTGAAGTTTGTGGCTGTAACTGGCCACGTCGAAGCGGACCTCAACCAGCCATTGTTCAAATGGATGAGCTAAAAATAATAGAAGTTTGGACTGGATGGAAGGTAAATATTGTCTATGTGAATGTTTAATAATGCTCCGAGACACACTGGATAAAATAAACAATATTATCAGAGATATTAAGAAATTTACAGCAAACTGTCTATGCACATAAAATATCGAGCCATTCTAATGTACAATATTAATAGAGCTGTGGAGACTGTACGAGTGGATTGAAATAAAGGTTTTGTTAAATTTTCTTTCAAGACCAATTGAAGTCATTCAACAGTTTAGAATCAAAGGATATATTGAGAGACATGTAGGGGTTTCGTTCAGCCATGCTCTGCAGTTCAGCGCTCTCCATCTTGACATGAGGGAGACATAGGTTATCAACAGCCAGTGCCCCCATGGAGGAGGAACGAGGGTGGTGGCCGAAGTGGCTGGACGTCACCTTGGACCTCATGGCAACGGTGTCCCAGGACAGGTTCATCGAGTCTGGGGAGGTCCTGTCCATCGATGGGGGGATGCAAGGGAGAGCTCCAAAGTTGGAATGGGGCCCATACTTGAGAAGGTGCTCCAGGATGTGGCTCTCGTGCAGCGGCGTGGCGTAATTGAACTGAAAAGGTGTGTGGTGCACGGGGTAAGGCCTTTTCACAGCTGGAGTGACGGAGTTCACAGGGGTCGCTGTTGGCTTGCGGACCACTAGTGAAAGTGCCTCTGTCTGGTCCTCCGGGCTTTGATCCTCTGAGCTTTCATAGTACTCTGATGACTGGGACTTCACGACAGCCTCCTCATCCTGGCACTCGTCCAGGATGGAGTTGGTCATCTGGCTCTTTGTGTCTGCACCCACTCTGATCTGCATCTCAGGTGATGAGCACGCACGCTGCTGAGGGGACATGTCCAGCCCTGTGGAAGACACTTTCTTGAACACCCTGTCCACACAATCATTGATGGCGCTGGAGAGCTCCTGCTTTAGGGTTTCCTGCAGGTTCTGATTTTCTCTTTCTTGAACCAGGTAACCAACAGCTTTGATTTTATCCTTACAGTCTACAGTCACCATGCTGCTGTTCCTCTCACAATCCCATTCGTTGCTTATGTACGACTCCATGTTTTCTCCCAGGAAATCGTGCTCAGATTCAACTTCTTTTGCGTCTCTGTTTTCATATTTGAGATTTTTCTGGCTGTACACTTGCAAAAACTTTTCTTGTAGCTGATGCAGCAGCTTTTGCATGCTGTGCAGCTGCTCTTTTAGCTTGTGGCATTCCTCTTCCTTGTTGTTGCTGCTATCACTGCTGCCGCCAGGTTTTCTGTTCATCTGTCCTTCTGCGGCACTGTGCTCCTGATGCTGAGGCAACCGTTGCTTACGTTTGTTCTCTCTCAAGGATTCTCTGGCCTCCTTCGAGTCTCTGACATCCGTGTCAGACCTCTCACTGTCTCCATGCTGCCTGCTATTGGGGGAACCAGCCATGACCCTGATGATATTTTCCACTCTGGCTCTTTTGGCCTGCAGATGATCAGTCATAGGATGCTCTCCTTCTGGACTGATTACTGTGGACACATAATTGCTGGGGGAAACAACCTCCGGTATGCTGTCTTTTGAGGAGACACTGCTTTGGTCCTCTTGGCCAGAGTCGGCAGCATTGGAGCTGGGGAGGTAAAAGTGGCTTTCATCTAAGGTCCTTCTGTTGTGGATTGTCTTACGGAGGAGCTGCGAGATGATGGAGCCATTTGAGTATGAGGCCAGAGGCTCGTCGTACATGCTTCTGCGAAAGCAGGGCAATAGGACCTCTGGTTTGTCGTCTTCTAGACCTTCGGTTGAGTTGTGCATGTTCTGTTCAGGGAGATTCAGATTCATTCTCACTGTGGGTCCTCTCACTATGCATGTTAAAGAATTTAAATCATATGATACACAGCAAACTCATAGCAATTTAATTCTATATATACATATATATATATATATATATATATATATATATATATATATATA